CGATTTTATTTTCTCCCCAGATTGGAGGTAGTATGGTTGAATGCTTAGGTTGTTCCTGTTGGTCAGAGCTGGGTGTGTAGGCGTTGGTCGAAGTTGGTTTGTAGTAGTTATTTTTCAGAGTTGGGCATTTTAGGGTGGGTCGGGATGGAGATTTGGAGCTTCTAGGGGATATCCAGCTCGTTTTCAGCTCTGGCGACGTGATTTTTTGGTGTGGTTGCTCTGGTTGTATGCTAAATTCCAAATCGGGTTTTTCTTAGTTCAAGATGTTCTGTAGGGGGTATGGGTTAGTTTTTCTTCGGAATCTGTTATTTGCAGTGTAATTTTTCCTTTTCGAATTGTACATGGAGGTTTGGTATGGATGTGCATGCTTCTGTTAAACTTAGTCTCTTTGTTTAGTAAGGTGCCACTGTGGTTATGTACCATTTTTGAATGTGGTTACTGGTTAGCCTAGTGTTAGTTTTTTTCCGTCAGCACTATTACTATGAACTTTGTATACTGTATTGTTTTTGTTTTCCTAGGGATGTGTGTAACTCTTACAGATTTTTGTATTTCTTGCAGGAATTATTGTGTCCTTGTTGTAGTTATTTTGTACTGTTGTTTAATGTTATTTTTCAGATTATATCAATTTTTCTCCCAGATTTTAGTTTACTCTAGCATTTTTAGCATTGTCAGATTTTTGTTTTCCATTGGGTAGTGATTTCACCTTGGATATGTATGCGATTTACATGGTTAACTTTCCTGAAACTTAGATTTGAGAAGGCATGTAAATCTGAATTTTTAAAATAATGTAACTGTAACAGTGTAATTATAGATTTTTAGGACTGTAATTATAGTTCTTTTAGAACAGTAACATACGAACAAAATAATATAAACTCCAGTCCGCACCCAATTATATGAGTAGTGATGTAAATCTGTAGTGATTGATTTTACACTTAGGCTTGTATAAATTTAGTTTCCTTTCTCTGTAAATTTGCATCACTAGTTTTGTAAAGATTAATTCAGTTTCTGGAATTTAGATTAAATTTCAATTAAGTGGTTTGTAGTTTACACTCGCCTGTATATATTTACTATTGTATTTTTTCTGTATTTTTGCAACATTAGTTACGTAAAATTTGCAGATTAGTTCAGTTCTTAAGTGGTTTTACACTTAGGCTTGTATAACCTTACAAATTTTTCTGTAATTTTGCAACATTAGTTCTATAAAACTTAGTTCAGTAGTTCTGGAATCAAGATAAAATACGTATCTAGCAGTTTGTATTTCTACAGTCATGCTTCCATAGATTTTACAGTTATATTTTCTCTGTAAATTTCCTTCAGTAGTTCTGCAAACCTGCCAAGATAGTTCACTTGTTAATTGGTTTTACTCTTAGGCTTGTATAAACTTACAACTTTTTTCCTGTAATTTTGGAACATTAGTTTTGTAAAACTTTAGTTCAGTTTATGGAAACAGATTAAATACGTACTTTACCAGATTGTAATTTACAGTCATGCTTCTACAGATTTTACAATTGCATTCTTTCCGTAAATTTGCTTCAGTACTTCCATAAAACTTCCAGAATAGTTCACTTCTGGAATGAAGAGTTAATATGTATTAAGTGGTTTTGTAATTTACCTTTTCGCTTGTATAGATTTCCAGCTGTATTTGTTTTTATAATTTTTATCAGTAGTTTTGGAATCAAGACTAAACATGAACAAAGCGGGTTGTAATTGTTTTTTGGTCTTTTTTTATAGATGTTACAGTTGCATTTTTCTGTAATTTACACTTGGACTGAATTAAGTTGTATCGGTTTGCATATATTTACTGTTAGGTTGGTATAGATTTACAGTTTTATTTTCTATCTAATTTTGCATGAGCTGTATAGCTGAAGGATACTATTTTCCCTTTCCATTTTAGCATTTGTATATATGAATGATTTCTATATAATACTTAAGTGGTTTTCCGAATTATACATTATTTACATTTATATATTACTGAGTTATAGTTGCATCATTTTCCTTCAGTTCTGATTTTGTTTTTGATTTTTGTTTTTGATTTTTGTAGAAACAAAAGAGGTCTAATGGTTTTCCAGTGTCATTAACCTTCACAAGATATTCTGGGAAGTTTTTTTGCTTCAGTTGTTGATGCTTTGAGACCTAGGCAGATTTCCAAGGTAATGTTTGTGTTTGTGGTATTTTCCTTTTCTTTTTCTAATTTATTTTCTTTTTTATTTCAGTTCTGTATCTTATTCAATATCATGTTGTCAAAGAGGCAGATTTCCAATGGATTTTTTTTTTTTGCATTCAGCAAATCTGGATCTGCTTGTCCTTGTTCTGCCCCCTGTAAATTAGATCACCAGTTTACTGTGTTAGTTAGTAATTGGGTTCATGTTTCTGTCGAGTCAAGCTGTAGGTATCTTACAGTTTCTTGTCTGTTTGCACTATTTTTTCAGGTCCCAAGTTGTAAAGCATGATCCGGTGTAAGTGCTTCCGCTGGATTTGTAAGTCTTTTTGATGCTAGTTGTTCCTGTGTAAAAGTCAAATAAGCAGCTAAACATGATATCTGCATTTCTAGTAAGTAGTAACAGAACATTGTAGGTTTATCAATTCTAGGTTTTCTTCTTACGGCAAACCAGTTGTCTGACAATAGTAACTGAGTGAATGTATACATTCCCTGCAGTTTATAGCAAGTGTTAGATGTATATCGACAAAACATTAAATATTCTTTTGCTTCAGAATATATGGAAATTGTCTGCTCCGCATTTACATTAAGAAATGAAATGTCATTTTCCCCAAAGAGTATGTGAAGGATTGTTGTCCCTGCTCAATATAAAAACATTTCCCTACATTGGCAAAAAATGATGGAGAGCATGCAGTGCAGTTTTTTTTGAAGATTCATATGTTTCAACTGCAGTTTTATTTGTTTTTGATCTGTAGTATTCATGTATTTGTCTGTACATCCCCATACTATTTTTCCATAGACTTTATGTATGTTGGGTAGTACTAGCCTGCTCCTTAGGCGGTTTTCCTTTTATACACTGACCTTGAAGGGTTTATACTGTGCATGCGTCACTGTAAATACCTTGATGCGTCACTGTAAATACCTTGATGCATGTATCTATGTCGGGCAATACTGTTTTTCTAGTTTGTTGCTTAGGTTGTTATTCCTTTTCTACAGAGAGCTTATAGGCTTTTTGTACTGTGCAGGTGTGTTTGTATGATTGGTAATACCGAATTTAAAGGTTGGTTCCTAGGTTAGTATTGTTGCTTTTCCTTTTTACAGTGATCTTAAAGGCAATTTACTGTGTATGCGCAACTGTTGGTAGTATGATTGATGTATGTATGCTGGGAAAAATTATTTGTGTAGCCTAATTCTCAGGTTGGATTGTAGATGTGTTTTACAGTTGAAACCTTAGTTTTTTATGCATGTATGTATGTTAGGGAAGACCATTTTTCCAACCTACTTCTTACTTGGGATTGTAGATGGGCTTTTCATGCATGCATGTGTTGTGTAATACCAAATTTTTACGCTGGTTCTTAGCTTAGTATTTCTTTTGCTTTTTACAGTGAGATTTAAGGCAATTTACTGTATACATGCGACTGTAAGTTCGTATGATGCATGTATGTATATTGGGGAAAAACATTTTTACCAGCCTACTTCTAAGGTTGGATACTTGGATTGTAGATGTGCTCTTACAGTTGGTATGTAGGCGAGTTACAATTTTTATATTCCAGTAAATCATGTGTTTTTTACAGTTAAAACCTGAGCTTCTGATGCCTATTTTTGTAATTTTCCTGTTGTTCACTGATGCTACAGTTTGCTGCTTCTGACATGTTAACTACTTCACGAGTTATTTACTTCTCTCTACTTTTTCTGTGTAAATGCCAACAAATGATGAATTTACAGTAGCAAAAGAGTGGAGTTATAGTGTGTTGTTTTTGTAATCTGTTCAATTTCTACTTGGAAGTCACTATATATCTAGTTTGCTGTGGTGTGCAGTAGTCACTGAATTTTTACAGTCCCTAAATCTCTGAATTCCTGTTTTCCTATGTCAGATCTTTCTTTATGATGGAGCATTTGTGTTGTTCTTGGTGATAGAAGTGTTCCAGGTGTGAAGAGAATAACAAGGGATCGATCAGATGTGAATGGGATGAAGTGATTCTGTGAGCAACTACCAGATTTGCCCCATGTTCAGGTGCAAAGGGGCCTCAGATGCAACAGTCAGGTTTAGTGCATTTATTACACTGTTACGTTTTTTACTGAAACTATTTTGGTTTTCAGTCCTTTTTTGTCTCGTGATATAAATTCACATACATTCATTTTTTCTGTTGTTTCTTTTGTCGTACATACATATATACATACACGTGTCATGTTGTCACTGGATGAAAAAATTGATTGAAGTCCAATTTGTTTCGAGTCGACTGTAATATACACTCCCTAAATAAAAGTAGTATTCTAATAAAATAGCTAGCATGTAGGCGGACAGGTTGATGACTAGTTTATAAGTGATGATATTTGTGAGTTCAGATAGCCTTCAAAATTTATCATTTAATTGGTGTACTTGTTTCTTTTTTTATTAATAGTTTTTTTTTGTTTTCTCAATTTATTCACTAAGTGAGTTAGTATTGCCGTACGATATCAAATGCACTATAAGATGCAAGAAATTAATTAATTATCATATCATTCTAGATTTTATGATCCTTGAGCTATTACACGCTCCAAACGAGAACCATAAAATTTGCTGAAGCAAATAAAATAGAGATCAAATGAACTATAAGATGCAGGAAAGAAATTATTTATAATATTATATGACCTTTGAGCTATTACACGTCCAAACGAGAACCATAAAATTTGCTGAAGCAAATAAAGGTAGCATACACAATACAAATAGTTAGAATTATTACATCGAAGTGACATCAGAGCATTATGTTGTTATAGCCGCAAGCAGTCTTGGCATCGGAGGCATATCAAGCTCCATTAGACCCTTAAGAACTCTGACCACTTCACCCATTGTTGGCCGCTCCAGCTCATTATCCTGGATACACCAACATGCTACATTGCAAACTCTTTCAACCTCATCCAAGTTAAAGTCACCATGTAATTCTGGATCTACCAAGCTCTGCACATCTCCCTCATGAAGCTTGTTGATGGCTTGCACAGGGAAAAAAGTGACATGGTCGTTGCTGCTAGTGTGCACAACAGACGCATTCCTTCTTCCCGATATGATTTCTATCAGTACCATGCCAAAGCTGTAAACATCGACTTTTGATGTAATAGCAACCCCGCTAAGCCACTCTGGGGCAAGATACCCTGTAGTTCCCCTGAATGTAGTTAGAACCCGGCTAAAATCCCTTCCTATGACCGATGCCAACCCAAAGTCTGCAATTTTAGGGACAAACGATTCATCGAGAAGTACATTTTCTGGCTTGATATCACAGTGTATGATGCATTCGCGGCAACTCTGATGCAGGTAGGACAATCCTCTAGCAACTCCGATGGCTATCTGATATCTGGTGCTCCAGTTGAGGACTGTACCATTGCTTTGGAACAGATGGGAATCAAGAGAACCATTGCACATGTGTTCATATACAAGCAGCCTCTTATCACCATGACAACAGAAACCAACCAATTTGACCAGGTTGATGTGCTGGATCAGTCCAAGTGCACTTACCTCTGCCCTGAATTGCTTCTCTCCCTGACGCGCACCTTCAAGCCTTTTCACTGCTACACTAGTCAGGTCACTTAGAACTCCCTTAAATACAGTCCCAAAACCTCCTGCTCCTAGCTTCACTGAGAAATTCTTTGTAGCACGGCCCAAATCGGCGTATCTAAAGGCAACAACTCCAACATTACCTTGATTGGTGGCCTGTGATGACATACCACACCAGTTGAATCTGTTCCTTAAGATCACCAGTAGCAGCATGAGCATCAGCAACCCAAAACTGATAACGCTTGCAGCAATAACAGCTCCAGCTGCTGGTTTTCTTTTACTATCTCTTGTTGAACTTGGAACATCTCCCGCAGCAAGGCGAATGTACAGAGTATATTCAGAGCTGATCTCGATGCCATCATCCTTGTTTACACTGAACAACTCCCCTTGCCAAACAGAGCATTTGCTGTCATGGTAGGAGTAAGCAGTACAGGAGCAGTTGGTGAGGCAGGCCCATTCGCATTCGCTCCGATTTGCAGGAGCATGCTGTAAACTCTGGGGACCATAGGGTAATGTCACACGAGCTATGGGTTGGAACACGTCTGTGGAACTCCTGTTGCCATTGCAATCCAGCGGAGTGTTTTTGGAGCACCCTCCTGTCCGGTCACCGAGCTCCCAATCCTGAGGCGACGTTCTGGAGAAGCTCTCCATGCACTCGCATGGCGGGTGCGAGCTGCCGGTGCAGACGGTGAATGGTCCGCAGGCGGCGTATGGGGTGCAGGGATCGGCTGGGTTGACGTAGATGCTATGCCATGCCTGGTTGTCTTGCGACCACACGTTCAGCCTGGCCTGACCAAACACGTCCATGAAGAGGAACGAAGAGATCTCATCTGATGAGGTGTACATGTAGTACTCCTCCTCCCTGTTGTTGACGTATTCTGGGACAACCATGCTGGTCTGTGGGCTCATTTGCAGCAGCTTCGTGATTGCTGGGATCTGCATCGACGAGTGGTCGTCAGGCGACCACCACCAGTACACTTCGGAAGGGTAGCCTCGACGCCTGGCGGTCACCATCCTTGTGCCATTGGTTACCAGTCCCACGCTGAAGGAGCCGAGGCCCGGATCGATCCGGCTCTTCCACGAGATGCCGAGACGGTTCAGGCCGGTGACCTTGTTCCAGCCGATCTTGGCGCCTGGGAGCAGGACGTCGGTTGGGTCGTCGAAGCTCTGCCACAGCACCTCACTTGACAGGCTTTCTATGACGAGGTTTCCACTGCCCAAGAGGATGGCCCTCGTGTTGCTGGTGTTGGTTCTAGCATTGGAGATGTTGGTGTTGGTTCTAGCATTGGTGATGTTGGTGGACCAGACAACGGATTGGGTGGCGTTGTTTAAGACGACAAGGTTGCCATCTTCTGAGACTTGAAGCTGTGTTGCTCTCAGATCGGGTCCGGCGATTGGCGTCTCCCGGTTTGCGACCCAGACGGGAGTGATGACATGGATCTTGTTGAACCATATGGCAAGGTACCAATGTGGAGAGGTGGATGACTTGCTGCTGTTGCCGGCACCGGGCTGGAAGAAGCCAAGCGCGAACTTGCCGTTGCTGGAGACGAGCTTGTCGCCGACGGCAAATGGCTGGCCTGGCGCGAGAGTATCGTGTTTTGTGGCTATGCTAGGAGGAATAGTGTGCATGGAGAGGAGGAGGAGGCCGAGGAACATGTGGAGGGTAGCCATGGCTGCTTTGCATGTATGTCTGCTTGCCCTTCCTCGGCTCTGCCATTTAACGAAGGAGGCTTAGGAGAGTAGAGGAGATAGGGAGAGCGGACGTCCTGGACGCAGCGGCATCTGGACGCCAATGGTTGGCCTGATCGAGGTGATGCGCGCATTAAAAATTGGTGGGAACGACAAAGACAGCATACATCATTATATATAGGTGAATACCGTGGCCACATGGCTGACACAAGGACCTTGTTTCATCTACAGCGCGGTGGGGGTGTGCCTTGCTGCCTTCAACGGCCAATTTTGATGTTTTGACCTTTTTGTGAAACTTAAGCCGAATTTAACCCTGGTCTCAAATTTTTTTTTGGGATCTGATCTTTTTCTTATCGTCGAGGTTGATGGCGGTAGGGTATAACTGTCTAAAGCCATAGACCTTGGCGGTAGGATTCGACCGAGCCGTGACGTCCGTTTGATATGAAAAATACCCTATCCTCAGGGTTCTTGACGATAGACTGTGCAACACTACCGTCAAAAAGCCATGCATAGCGTCTGGCACGCATGCCACAAGTGCGATTTGATATATTGGGTTTCAACGTACTTACTTGAACTTCTGAAGTCAACTCAGCTAGAGTCGATGGTACTACTTCTGTCGTACATGCATTATTGTAGAAGTAAAATTACTAGGCTCCAAAGCTCCGACCATGAAGCAGGGGGCTATAGTACTAGTGGTACTACTCTTAGGTGATACCAGCCCTTCTTATATGCTATCATGATATCAACTTAAAAAAAATTCAAATTTAAACTTGTCAAAAAATTCTGAAAAAAATTCATGGATGTACAAAGAAAAAAGACAAATCCATCATGATAGCGTCAAAAAAAGACAAGCAAAAATGACACTATTCACATCTGAATTTGTCTTTTTTTTGTTTTTCTATGTGTATGTCGAATTTGAGCTGAATTTTTTAGGGGTTGTCAGACATATATGTCATGAACATCCATGATTTTTTTCAGATTTTTTTGACAAGTTTAAATTTAAATTTTTTAAGTTGATATCATGGTAGCATATAAGCTTTGGAATCACCTGATAATTTCCGGCAAACTGAAAGCCAGCGCCCCACTATACTCTAACTAGCACGTCATCTTGATGGGAATCGCGAGGGACCGCGCATGTAGATGCTGCTGCATCTAGCGATGCAGTTCTCAGGAGGTAGGTTCAAGACAAGGAGAGGGAAGACAATGCAGACGAATAGGCGACGACGACGCTGCTTGCATGCGGGCTCAAGTTCGTCCAGTTGTTGATCACGACAAAAATAGTGCAGACTCAGCGAAACTAGGGCCCAGGACATGCAATGAAGAGGCTGTTTAGTTTGTGACTAACTTTGCTAAAGATTGTCACATCTAAAGTTAGGTAAATTTGACCAACTTAGGTGAGTGTTTGGTTCAAGCCACACCTTAGGCAAGCCACACTTGTGCCCCACATGGCATACATATAAAAAGTGTGGCAAAGATTTTTTTAGGCTTGTCAACTTGTGGCTCTTATTTTAATGAACTAGCTTTAGACAAGTTTGACAAAAATATGTGACAAAGTATGGCAATACTAGTCCTACAACCAAACAGTCCCGAAGAATATGGGTCCTGGGTGTTCACATTGGCAAATCATTCCAGTTAAAAAGGTGGGAGCAGCTGGATGTCGGTCGACTGACAAAAAACTGTTTCAGTCGATCATACTACAGAGTACGCCAGCTGCCTAGCAGGCCCATAAGCAAGGAATCTATATTCTTTAGCGTCAAGTGCTCATGACCGCTAGCAAGAGTCTGCAAACAATGCTTGCTTGGGCCATGTGCCTGTGTCCTGTAGCGTCAAGTGCTCTGCATGCCCACGCACATAAAAATAATGTAGCAAGCAAGCAAAACATCTAACTGGTTCTGCACATGATGGGACCATATGTTTCAATGCATTAGGGCATGATTAATAGTACAGCCAGTTGCAGTTGCTGGCTGTTTGACGTTGAAATGTCATTTATAGTCAATTTTATAGCCAGCAAATACAATAGCTACATGTAAATGAGTACTACTTTATTGGTACATGGCCCACCTCCCTCTTTCACAAAGTCTTTAAGAGCGCGTGGTGCAGCCGGCTGTTAATTTGTAATCCGCTTCTCTTCTCTTTCTTGTTCTCTCTCTGCCAAGTAAGCAAAAATATATTATTTAAAGCCTTACAGTTCGCTTACTCACCTTATTGTACTTGCTCTTAAGGCATTCAGACGGGCACTTAGAGCATGATTAATAGTATAGCCAACAACCAGGCTATATGAAGTTGCTATGTCACTTATAGCTAACCTAATAGTCCGCTCATACAACAGTTACATGGACTAGTATACTACTCCTTCCGTTCCATAATGTAGTGCCTATAGATTTTTGCAAAAGTCAAACATTACAAATTTTGACCATATTTATAGAGAAAAGTAGGTACATCTAGAATACCAAATGCACATCATTGGATACATCAAGAGTTATATTTTCAGAATGTATATGTTTGGTATTGTAGATGTAGACTGTTTTCTCTATACATTTGGTCAAAGTTGGTAAAGTTTGACTTCCACAAAAATCTATAGGCACTACATTGTGGAATGGAGGGAGTATACAATTAATACATGGCCCACTCTTTCCTCTCACAAAGGGTGTTGGAGCTCGTGCTAGAGCCGGCTGTAAACTTGTAGCCCGCTTCTCTTCTCTCTCCTCTCCTCTCTCCTCCACCTAGACATAAATCTGACGTGGCATCTCTTATAGCCCGCCTACGTCATCCTATTGTACTTGCTCTTAGGGCATCTCAAAGGTGGACTCGTAAACCTCCCGCAGCTGTCCGGACCACGGAAGCCATCCAACACGGTTGTATCGGTCCGTGGAACGGTCCGGACGCGATTTATCCCGCAAACCAGAGACAAACGTGGGGGAGGTTTGCAAGAGTCCGGACACACGAAAGTCGCTCTCCGCCCTCTGGCCCATCCAAAAGGAAGGCCGAGCCCGCGCTTTTGTAGTATCCCGCATTATTTCCGCGCCAAAATCCCCCACTCTCTTCTTCCGCTCTCAGTCGCTCTCCGTCCAATTCCCGCTCTTTTTTCCCATGCTCTCCTTCCCTCCGCTACCGACGCATGGAACCATCGGAGAACTTGTCGGAGATGGAGCCGGCGGAGGTGCCGGGGGATCCGAGCATCACGCTCACTCGAAAGATCAGCTCGGATAGATGCGGCAAAGTTGTCGCGTCAAAGCGAAGGCCGCAAAGGAGAAGCTGAAGAAGCATGGCCGCCGGTGGGCCTGGTGGTTGCGATGGGCGTGGCGGACGGCGCCAGACGGGCGTGTCCACAATACAGATGGCGCTGTGGCAGGAGCCTTACAAGCCTCCGTACTACGCCGCCGCCAAGCAGCTCGCAAAGCCCGTCGGTACGGTTCCTTACATCGTTGATGTTAACTCGGCGCCACTCTTCTCCGAGTATTCTTTGCCGTTGCTCGTCCGGGCGAGGACGGCAGCCGGAGAGCACATGGGTGCCCGCGCGCCGTTTGCTGCAATGCCGAGAGCGGGGGAGCCGACGTACAACAAGGACGGCTAGGATGGCCGGTCCGACAGGGCAGAAATGCACGAAATGCCGGACCGATGTTCTTTTGGATTCGGGCATGTAAAAACTAAACATATTTGCCCTCTTTTGGTTGTGACCGAGGATGCGATCTGGCGCGGATGTGGTCGGGCGCGTTGTGTGGATCAACGTAGATTTGAATTTGAATTTGCTGGTGGACATATACATGCTACGATTGAATGGTGTCCTCCCGCATCCGTGTCCGCGTAATGGCCCCCCGTCCGCGGACGAACGCAGGAGAAAATTTGAAAATTTGTGAGTTGCCGTTGAAGATGCCCTTACATACATTATCTATAAAAGTGTGCTACTGCTATATATAACTTACTAACCATGTACAACAACAAATGCCCAAAACTCCCAAAAG